CAAATATATAATAATTTTAGTTATTTTTTTTGTAATACCTCAGCTTCAAATATATTTGCTAGCATTTCATCACTTCCTATTGTATATAAATAATACCAACTTCTAACACTCATGAGTATCAGAATACTTCTGTAGTTTTTTATATTAATTCAATCCTAAGATAAACCATAAGAGATAGTTCAGACAATTTTTCGTTAACTCAATATTCCCAGTGCAAAAGAGCACCAAGTAGAATCTCCATCTGATGCTTTTTTATCGAATTGTCCTACACAATTAATGATTAGTGACAAAAAATTGCAAGCTGTTGAATTTCCAACTATAGTACAACTTCATAATAGTAGGCACTAATTTATTAAAAATAGTATTGCATTAAAATGAAAACATTCTTGTCAAGGTTGTGATTCTATATATTTTATCATAATTTTTGCTCATCTGCTTGGTATTATTTCCGTACGCCACTGCAAGAGACAGATTAAGGCAAAAGTTTCAGTCATTTTTGAGAATTTAGTGTGTAATATCCGTGAGAATTTCACCATTTTGACTTTTCTGATGATATCTTAAGAATTAAACTTATCATAAAATGTTTCCATTTTTATTTATGAAGTAAATACATCTGAAAACCCATTTCACGTACAAACCTGAGAAAATCCTGATGTTTTATTTTTTCCTCGTATTTCTAATTTTGGGGTACATCAGACCCCACCTGGATGATACTGTGAAGATTTTTCACCTGGGTGACGCCGGGTTAAAAAATTTCATCGACTTTTTTCCAATTTTTTTTATTTTTCGAATTTTTCGTTCTATCTATTCGAACGAAACATGATTGAAATTTCAGAATTTTTGTGAATTCGAGACTTCAATATCATATTATTGCCCAGAAAATACCCGAATTGGCCTGTTACCAGGAAAAGAAATATATACACCTCCAGAAATTCGTCTTTGTTGTTGCAAAGTTCATCTAGTTTTTTCATTTCATCGTTAAACTGATTCAGATTCTCAATGTATGGAAGTTAATATGTGAGTAATCGGAGAAAGGTATTTTTCCCAATTCTTATTACAGTCGTATTCATTTTTATGATAGATTTTCATCTAGTTTGACTATTTTTCTGACCAATAATTCAGTTACAAACTAACCCAAAATATCATACTTTTCTGTAAACTAAGCAGTTACCTACAGTTTCATAACTATCCAAAAGACATTAGTTCTAGCGATTTGTACTAAACATGATATATAATTTCGTTATTTTAAACACTAATGCACTAAACTAATCACTAAAGACTAATGCAACATGTCGGGAAGAAAAAAGTAATTACTGATCAAATCGAAATGAAATTTTCCCTTAGTAGGCTTTCGAAACAAAACTTTGGTTTTGGATAATTTCAAATTATTGCGTTTGATAAATCGACTTATTTTGTGTGAAGATGTTCGTACATTCATAATTCACAATATTTTTTTAGAGATAATTTGAACCCAGACATGTACAGAAATTTCATTATGAATCAGTTGTCTGAAGTTTTGGATAATCTGCCACTGAGTATTAGACGAAATTAGTGATATCAGCTTGACGGGGCACCACCAAACGGTAGAAGTGAAACAGTGTTTCAGTCAAATGTTCAGGGTTAAAGTGATAGGACGAGATTGGGAAGATTATTGGTCTCCAAGATCACCGGACTTACTCCGATGGAATTTTTTCTATGAAGTTATCTGAAACTGAAAGTGTATAAGCACAGATCATTTTCGAACAAAGAACCTTTAGAGAATACCATTTGGGTCTGTGAATAAAAGAACTATACTTTGAAAAGAACGGGAAAGAAGGACGGCATACTGAATGATAAATTTGAGTTCTTCATAAGATTGTTGAGATAAATCAGTGAATGTTATGATGTTTTGTTGTCAATTTGGTTATAGCTATTTTTGTTTGATGTTATTTACACAATATAAGATTTAATAAATCAACTGAGGAAGCGTTATTATTTGCTCGATAACTACATCTAACAGTTCACATCCAACAGTCACACTTTTGGGGGTGTAAACTGCATCAAAATATTTTGAACTCATCTGCAGCTAATGGGATGCAAATCTACTTAAAAAAGGAATAGAAGTATAATGAGAATGAAGAGAGATACTTTCATCCGATTACTGACATACATTACATACATTGAAAATACGAATCAGTTCAACAATAGAATAAAAAACATAGATGAACTTTGCAACAACAAAGACGAATTTCTGGATTTGTATATATTTCTTTTTCTGATAACAAGCCAATTCATGTATTTTCTGGGCAAGATATGACATTGAAGTCTCGTATTCATCAAAATTATGAAATTTTAATCATATTTCGTTCAAATTGACAGAGCGAAAGATTCGAAAAATTAAAAAAATTGGAAGAAAGTTGAAGTGACAGTAGAGGGCCAAATGTCGATCGAGGGTATAAAATTAGAAACTGAGCAACTTTTTTCTGGCATATCTCGAAATTTCCAGAAAACAATGTCAAATTTGACAGGTTTGAAGTAGCACATCACAAAAGGAAAGGGGCTGTTTTTCACTCATCTCTCAAGCACAATCCAGACAAGTAGCATTAGAATCGGGAATATATTTAAAGTATTTTTCACAAAGAAAAATGTTCTGTTCATCAGTAACTTGTCGTATTTAACAATTTTGTCTATCAAAAAAATTATTAATAAATAAAACAATATTTATTGTAGTGTAGTATTCCGTTGTAGTATTCCGTAGGTATCAATAAATGGATCGATGAGACATGAATGAGTAACCCCTGATAAGGTCACCGAAGGGAACGGGGATTATTCAGTTTTGTCTAGGCGGTCGATTATTGAACAAGAGTTTTATTTAATATTACACTTATCTTGACGTTTCAGAGGCCAAAATCTGCCTCCGTCTTCAGAAATGGACGAAAAAATTCTAAGATATTTACAGTTATTCCTTTTGATTATTCATTTCATAATTTCTTCGACAAATGTCAAAGGAGTTTTGAAATATGAAATTATGTCAATGTTGTTGATTGTGGAAGGTAAAAAATACCCTAAAAAGCTCATTGAATATTTTCTTTGATAAACAGTTATTTTTTCTGCACATTGCCTCTTATAGATCCAAAATTTTTGTATTATTTCCTTGACAGTATTTGGTGATAGTTCATGAATGTCGTCCATTCTCTGCCGAAGCTTGCTGACATAGTCTTCCCCCGCAGTGTCTTGTTCTGGAGGCATCCCAAATTTCAGGTCGCAAGGAAGCCGCAGCTCTCGTCCCATTATAATACTGGCAGGGGTTTGGCCGGTTGACTCGTGCACTGCCGAACGATAAGCCAGCAGGAACAGGTGGAGGTATTGGTCCCAGTCTCTTTGATGGTCAGAGACTACCTTGGACAAGTGGCGGTTTATAGTCCTATTCATTCGTTCCACCATTCCATCGGACTGTGGATGTAAGGCTGTGGTTCTGGTCTTTCGAATGTCCAACAGTTTACATATTTCTTGGAACAGGTTGGACTCAAAATTTCTGCCCTGGTCCGAATGCAGCTCCAATGGGACACCGAATCGACATATCCATTCCTTTACCAGAACGTCAGCGACGGTAAAGGCTTCCTGGTTGGGCAGGGCATAGGCTTCTGCCCAATTGCTGAAGTAGTCCATGGCTAGCAGGATGTATTTGTTCCCATGGTGGGACTCTGGGAACGGGCCGGCGATATCGATGGCGATTCTCTCGAAAGGACTACCCACGTTATACTGGCGCATTGGAGCTTTCGGTCGTATCCTAGGTCCGTTACTGGCAGCGCAATCAGCACACTTTCTGCACCAGTCTTTGACGTCGGCTTGACAATTAACCCAGTAAAACCGTTGTCTTACTTTCTGGAGGGTCTTCGTTACTCCCAGATGTCCTCCAGTGACTCCATCATGGATTTCTTTGAGCACCTCCCGTCGTCTGCTCCTGGGTACCACTGTCTGGTGCCTTTCTTCTGCACCGTCTTCAGACTCCAACACCCGCTTCAGAACCCCGTTTTCCAAAGTAAGGGAGTTCCATTGTGCCCAGTAGGACTTGATCGTTGGCGGATAACCTGCTACCTCCTGCCACGATGGTCTTTGATTACTTTTCTTCCATCCGATGACTAAACCAAGATCTGGGTCTTTTTCTTGGTCTTCCTTGATCTTATCATCCTCCCAGTTGTCGTCTACAGCTGCAGTTCTACAAATAGCTGCTTCCTTCTTCTCTGCTCGTCGACAATGTGAGCAGTCATCGGGGCAAGGTCTCCGTGATAGGGCACCTGCGTTCATTACGGGGGCTTGCTGGATACAGGCTGACGATTGCACCTTCTCATGGAACCTCTCTAGTTTTTTTTGAATGCTTGGACATTTGCTACGCACATACCCAATTTTCCCACGGTTCCGGCATCTTATTTGTTTTCTTTCAGACAAAACTCCTTTTATCGCCTTTCTTATAGTGGCCTCAAAATCAGCAGAACCCTGTCCATCTTCCTCCATAGTTTGAACTTTGCTCTGGCCTTTGCAGGATTGTTTTATAGCCTCAAACTCCAGAGCTCTTGCCAGTGCATCCACAAGATGTTTGGGACGAGCTAGCGTCAAGGCCTGCCTCGTTTCTTGGTCGCGAAGTCCATCCAAGAATGTTTTACAAGTGTAAAACATTTGGATGTTTTACATCCAAATGTTTTACACTTATTTAGTTACACGCTGTATAACACCAACTTCTCAAGATGGTTTCAAGTTTCAGTTATTAACAATTCTTATGAATTTTTGTAGAATTACTTTTATAAATTAAATTTCGAAACCATCTGGTGAATAATCATATTTATGTGAATTTTCAATAATTTCCTTTGAATTACATGAAAGAAGGTAATTTTTTGAAAAAAATTTCCATACACTACTTTCGGATGGAACAGGTGGAATTTGTCGGTTTCCTTGTACGTTGTGTGCAGTTTACCACTGCTGCGGTGTTATCAACGATGGACGCTTATTCCTAGCAGATACTCAGAGGTCAAAGCTGCATTGCTACAATAACAACTCAATAAATTGATCTATTTATTCGTTAGGACAAAGCAGAGAATAATTACATTTCGTGTATATTAAAACTGAGTGTTACTGTTGGTAAAAATGTTCAGAATAAAATCTTGCCGTATTGTTAGGAATAAAACCAGACTGAGTGGTTCGAAGAATTCAAATAAAAGGAGTTTGAGTGATGATGCCACTTTGCCAAAGCAGGCTGATGTTGTTGTTGTAGGTGAGTGAACTGAATATTGCAAGTATATATTATTCCATTTATTTTTTGTGATACGTACATGGTACTTCATGAAGATATAGGTTCTTTATTATAATAGGCACCTCTGAAAAAATAAGCATACTGAAAAATTCAAAATGAAGAAGACATCTAATACATTTTCTCATACTATGAATGGCACGTGTTGAAATAAGATCTTCGTAAAAGTTTGGACTTCAGTTCAGTTCACTTTCTTATAAGGAAAAAAGAGCTGATTATTGATGACAAAATACAAATCTAACAACGAATTTCATATACCAAACAACTATAAATGAAGGTAATTCAAAAGATATCAGTTTTCCGTTTTGTAGTGTTTTTTATAGGGCTCCAAAATTGCAGTATAGGTATCGTCGAAAATAAGAAATTCTGCTAAGAACTTGTGTCACAGATATGAAGAGATTGTTTTTTTATTGTTGATATTACATTTTTATTTTTTTACAGTACCCACATGTATTGATATTCAAATATTCCAGAATATATTTCTGAATCAGTAATAATTTTGCTGTTTCGCAATCAGTGAAAACAATATTTGAGTGGGTCTATAACAAATTTTGAACCTACTGTCACTAATTCATCATTTAATTGGTAACTATCATAAATGTCTGTCGGGTATAATTCAATGTGCATCATGGTATTAGCAGGGAAAGTAGTGGTTTTTTTGGCTGACATCCACCAGATAATTCTATGTAGTAATTTCGGAAGAGATGAACGTTTCGAAATACTCATTTTGTTATTGGGAATGTTTACAGGGATCGCCTTAGGCTTGCAACTTTCACGATACCTCTGAAAAAGCCCTTTCTAGTTAATCCTGCCTTGCATTGAAAGACAAGGACGAATCTCGTTCCGCGGTCAATGTTGAAGCTTGATTTTGCAAAGAACCGCCTCGTTTAGGATTGAGTCTTCTCTACATCCCATAGATGGCGCCATCGTGAGAGGAGATGTTTTCGACTTCACCAACTCATGCTTATTCGCCGGAAACAGTTGAGTGCAGCAATACATTCGTATCTAGTACCTATGATGTCTGAAGTAAATTATTATTATATGGGGCGAAAACTATCTCATCAGGAAATTCAACATTTCCTCAATATCATATTATATCGCGATTGCATGTTCTATAATTTTCTTATAACTCATTTGGACCTCATATTCGGTAATTTCCATTTTCGTTCTGCTTGATTTTGAATCAACCCTTGATAGAATCAATATATGAGGTAGTTTAATCTGAAATTTTTTGTCCACACCACTTCGTGACGATATCGATATCGATCGATTGAAACAAGCTACTGGAGTTTCTTTATCTATTCTCTATCAAACATTTGTTTCTTACATGTTTCCCCAAAATGTTTGAAACATAATATCTTCAAATATCTATAAATAATTTATATGCATTTGTTGCTAAACTTCATCCCCAGTAATTTCTAGAAGTAGCTGAAAGTGTTAAAAAAAACGTTTATGGCTCATCATACGAACTGTCTTGTCAGCCATCATTCAGAATCTGAATGCAAATATTATGGAACTGACGTGTTGAGATTATAATCACTTTTTGAATTTCTCAAAATTAATCCGTGTACGTCAAGTTTCAAGTTCGAAGATAGGGCATGCATCAGGAATGGCTTCCTGTATGTCACCTAATAATGAGGAAATCACATTTATTGTGTCATAAACACATTTGGTTTCATTATGTTCTTTCCAAAATAATTATGAAACATGCTACCTTATTGTTCTCAAAACGTTATCTAGAGTGTACCCATTCAAGTACTCTTATGAAATATATATTTCTTAACCGATTCGAATAATTCTTTTTCCATGAGACAGACATCCATAAAGTCTACTAGGATACCAAATTTCATAAATTATTCATCATTTTCCGGGCCAACTATTCTTATTTTTTAAGGACAAAAATTTAAAAGAAAGTAATTGGCGATATTTTTCACAAAAAATTCAACTACTTCACTAGATTTGTGACATTATCAAATGGTCTATGTCGAAGTTACAAAAAAATGCCAATAATAAAAAAGTTATAAGTGAATGGAATTTGAACAATATGCCTTTTAATCAACCCACTTCAATTTTAGAAATTTTATCTGAGTTCTGACTACACCACTGGTTTTGAGAGGATTCAAGATATCACGGTTGAAAATTTCAATAAAATCTGTTCATCAATGAAAAAATTATAAGGGAATGGAATTTGAAAAATTTGTTATTCAATGAAATTTTGGCTACACCACTGGATTCGGAACGATATTTAGCAAAATATAATTCAGATCCTTGTATTCATGAGAAGTGTATGGAATGTATGAATCATATTAATGAATCCGATTATGAAACAAACTTTAATGTCAATAATTTCAAATCAAAAAACACCTGCATTCATTTCGAATTGCTACAAACTAGTGGAAAACAATCTCTTATTCACAAGCAATGCACATAATAGGATCGAAGATGATAACAATGAATTTATCATATCGCAAGTATTCTGTAATTGTTGCGAGGTTATTGCAGCACACGCTTGCTGAATTCTTGTGCACGGTTTCATTCGATGATTTGGTCGTGATTTGTTATAGACATATTGTGTGACATAGCCCCATAGGAAAACATCGAGTATAGTAAGGTCAGGCGACCTAGGTGGCCGTTCAATTAATCTACTCCCCCGTCCTATCCAACGGTTGGGGTAGTTTTGATTCAGCCAACTTTTCACAATTCCCGCATTATGAACAGAACAGCCATGTAACTGAAAATATAAATTTCTTGTTTCTGCGAGGGGAAGTTCATATATTGCGCCCGACAATTCATTCCTTGAAAATTGTGGGAAATTTGCGGCATTGGTTGCTATCTAAACAGAATGGTCCAATTATTCTCCTATTCAGTATTCCACACCAAACATTTAATTTTTCTGAATACTGCCTTTTACAGTTAATCACCCAGTTAGGATTTTCAGTAGCCCAATATTGAATATTTTGTGATGAAACCACTGCATTTGTTGTGAAACCAGGTTCATCACTGAATAAAATATTCTTTAAAAAATGTCTGTCTTTAAGGTACACGCCCTGGGCCCATAAACAAATTGGCCATTATCTAGTTTTATTTTGAATTACAAACTTAGTTTTATAAAGGTTAATCACGAAATGACAATTCCTGAACAAATAGATGATAAACTAGTCGCAGCTTACCTGCCCATTCCATTAATCCATTCAGAGCCAATATTGCGCAAACGCAACAGCATATTTCGTGAAATAAATTAATCATAAAGTAAAACAATTTGGGGTAGACACATATTGCGTATACGCATCACTGGAATATAATAACAATAATTCTTTTTTTGGGGTTGAAAGATGAACAAAAAAATAAACGTGTAATGGGAGCAGTGGTGTAATCAGAATTTTGCTAGAATTCCATTAAAAGACAAATTTTTCAAATTGTACTCCCTTATAATTTTTTCAACGATGAACAGGTTTCGTTAAAATTTTTAGCAGTTATATCTGAATCCCGTGGTGTAGTTAGAATTTGGATGAAACTTCTGAAATTAAAGTGGTGGGTTGATTAAACAGCATATTTTTCAAATTTCATTCACTTATAACTCTTTTATCATCAGCGGTATTTTTTCGTAACTTTGAAATAGACCATTTGTTCAGTTCCTGAACTGAACACGACGGCGATAACCATCCCCGTATTCCCCGATTTATATTCGTCACCGTAACATGACTTCAAATTCAATTTCATGACTCTTCAATTTCATAAAACTTGGTTTGTAAAACCTATCCAATACGAACCGCCAAGTCTACCCTCCACGTGGACTATTTTGCTGCCGGTTCATTTCTGTGTATTGGTTTTTTGGCCTTTGAGAGTGCTGCTAACTTTAAGAGTGCACAATATCGGTTACTTCGACTATACTAAAGTGGTATATGATTTAACTGCGAGGAAGAAGGTCATTTCCGAAGTATTAGCAGCATATGAGTCTGTCGGGCGTGAAAGCCCGTGTTTTCATATCACTCTATTTTTATTCTTCAAAAGGTCGGCACCCAGTGTATCAAGTTACTCTGAATTATATGTGATGGAATTGGCCGATATTTGATGAAAATCTATGCTAATGTTTCCTATACAAGTATTTTATTACACAATAGATAGTCCAATCGTGTTCAATACTACTGCAGTTAGTAGTTGCATAATGAAAATTTTCGAAAACATATTAGTTGAACCCTCGAAACGCGGGGTTATCTGACTCGAAGTACAAAAGGCGACTGGTTCCTGTTGGTGACTTCGTACGTCTGCTTTTTTCCGCAACTGAATGTTGCTACTTTGTATTGATGACGATAATTAAGACTTTTTATATTTCCTTCATATCACAAAATCTCATATTCATATTATTCAATGTGGTGTGGTGATGATGATTGACACTTTGAATGTGGTGTGGTGATGATAATTGATACTTTAAATCTAGGATTATCTGACAGAATTCATGAAGTGCGCCTGGGTATTATTGATGAACCAGAAACAATAATCTACGGTTCATATTTTTGAATATCTGCACACTTCATCGCCATCAAACTTTGGACTTGCTACCAGACAGCTAAACTCACTTCTGTGATGATGCAAATTGATGCTTCAAACTCAGAGCTATTCAATCAGAAAGTCACTGGCTTACGCTGATAATTTCGTACAATTGCGCTGTTTCTGGTATTCGAATCTTGGCTATTTCATCACATGACTATATCGTAGTAATGACAGCCAGTTAGCCAGAACTACGAGTATATGCCTACAGTTTAAATTTTCAAATACTTTGTCCGTGAAGTTTGTTAATGCATTAAACCCTGGGCAACTTACCGAAACACCAAAGTGCGATTAGCTTCTGTTGATGATTCCGAACATTTGCTTCATTCAATCTATCACAAAATCATATTCATATTGAATCCTAGTTTTGCATGCAAGTTCCTGAAGGTAATCATTGCTTCAAATTAAGGGTTATC